GGGGGCAATATGCTGACTCTGTAAACCGCTTAGAGAGGGCTGAAAGCCCTATGAAGCGGTATATAAGTCTAACTGCTATTGCTATTGTTATTGCTTTAATGCTCTGAGCTTGGTGCTTATCTTGGAGGCATTTCATTACCAAACTAGGGAACATCATCAGTGTTAGAAGGGGGGGAGCAGGAGAAGGAGGAGGAAGAGGAGGAGGGTTGTAGGATCTTTAATGTTCTGAGCTTGGTGCTTATCTTGGAGGTGTTTCATTACTAAACTAGGTAACATCATCAGTCCTAGGAGGGGAAGAGGAAGAGGAGGAGGAGGAGGAGGAGGAGGAGGAGGAGGAGGAAGAGTAGGGTGGAGGTGGAGGGTTGTACAATCCTTAATGCTCTTTGTTTGGTGTTTTTCTTGTAGAGGTTTCATGACCCAACACAGAGGAGGTTCGGCTGTTGACCGGCAGCGGTGCTGGTTGTCAGCCGATCCTCCTCTGTGTTGGTGCAAGCAGGAAGCTCTCTGTCTGGTTGACCACATCCCCCAATGCCCGAGGGTCCTGGAACAGCATCGTCCTCAACCCCCCCTCCCCTGGTGTGCCTTCCCTGTCGGACAGTCCCAGTCCCCTCCTAACCGGGCTCTGAGGGGACCATGACAACCGCCAAAGGGCCAGATGTGGCCTGGGGAGTCCCTAAAATGTACAGGCCTGTTTTAATCTCTACCCCAAAGGCCACCAAGGTGGTGCAAACTATCCCATCCAGAGTTACCACGTGCCAAGATGGGCCACTCATTTTGCAAACAAACTATTGTGGCCTGTAGGCCGCTGCCCCCACCCCCAGCAGCCGAATTGGAGGAGGAGGAGGAGGCGTGAGAGACGGGGTCAGCAACACCAACCAATCAACTTACATTTGCTGAAGTCGAACGACAGCTGGAGACTGGCGCAGAGGTACGCTTGGCAGCTGGAGCATTTCAACATGTCGCACTCCACGTTGGTCCATCCATACTTGGCGCAGATCAGGGGTGACAGCTCATGGGGTTTGCCCGCCCACTTGAGGGAGTATTTGGCATTAAGGAAAGCCATTCAAGATTTTTTTTGGGGGGGGGGGGTGTCAACTTGTCAAGAGTTGCCATGAGTATTATCAGGTTGGCATTGGAGGGAGGATTCCATGCGTACTTTTGCTCAGAGTCGGATCTCATATTTCTACAACCTAGTTTGTGAATATGGTTTATGACGCCTGACAGAAGGGAGATTGAGGGGTAAAGTTCAAATGCAATTAAGTGGAAGCCGGTTACGGCTCCACAGAAGATCATGCCAAGATGTTGATCCTAATAAATGAATGGGTTTGTTTTTTTAACTTTGTCTCGAGGCTTGTAAATTAATTAGGTCATCCATTGGGAACTTCACAGAGTGCTACAGATTTAAGAAAAATCTGGCCTTCCTATCAACTTCTATAGGCCAGCATGAAATTTCCTCCAATTCTCACAGCTCTCAATACAGGTAGTCCTCGAGTTACGACATTTCCTTTTGTTACGTCACTGGGGGAAAAGTGACAAATGGCCATTTTTCACCCTTACAATCACTGTAGCATCCCCAGGGTCATGTGATGTACAGGCCGATGCTTGAGAACTGACTTGCATTTTTTTAGAAAAAACCACAACAGTTTATTTATATATTTTAAGAACTGACTCACACTTATGACGGTCGCAGGGTCCCCGGATCCTGGGATCGGCTTTTGCTAATCCTTCTGACAAGCCAAGTCAATGGGGAAACCGGATTCAGTTAAGAACTGGGTTATTAATTAAATGACTGCAGTGATTTCACTTCGATGGGGCAAGGAAAGGCATAAAATGGGGAGAAAAATGACTTAACAAATTTCTCACTTAACAACGTACATTTTGAGCTCAACAGTGGTCGTAGGTTGAGGCTGAGCTGTATTTGGACAGTTTGTAGCCAGGAAGGGAAAGGAAATGCTTGTATGCTTCCCCTGTTGACACAACCAGCTTTTTATTAAAAATAGCACGTCCCACTTTAAACGCAGGTACTTCTCGACTTACAACCATCCATTTAGTGACCATTTGAAGTTATGGCGGCACTAGAAAAAAGTCACCACTGACCACTTTTTCACACTTATGACAGTTGCAGCAGCCTCAGAGTCACGTGATCAAAATTCAGACAGCTTGACAACTGTCTCATATTTATGACGGTCGCAGTGTCCTGGGGTCTTGTGATCCCCTTTGGCGACAAGCAAAGTCAACGGGGAAGCCAGGTTCACTTAACAACTGTGTGACTTATTTAACAGCTTCAGCGATTCATTGAACCACTGTGGCCAGAAAGGGTGTAAAATGGGGGCAAAACTCACTTAACTGTCTCGCTCAGCAGCAGAAATTTGGGGCTCCAATGTGGTTAAAGGTCGAGGACTACAAGTATATTTTGTTTCCTCTGGGAACTGCCCCCCACCCAACCAAAGAGGAAGCCGTCTTAGAATAATTGGGACTCAAAGGATATGGTGAATGTTTCCACGCGGCTGAAGAAAGCCTCTTTGCTAGTGGATTCAAAATGCTGCTCGTTGGTCGGGGGAGATCCATTGGCCTCTTCGGGGAAGGCCGAGGAATCTTTTCTGAAACGCAAGCAAGAGGATTCCGAGAAAGGATCGTCAGTTCACAAGAGCCAGAAGTAGTTGTTTCTCTTCCATCTTCCAGCCCCCCTCAAAAGTGTATAAAACTAACCTGTGGTAGAGGAATTACAGTGGTGGGATTTTTGAATTGGGCTTGGGACCTTTGAGGCCATTCAGTCTGACCCCCTGCTCAGGACAGAATCGGAATGGAAACTCCCCAAATGAAAAGCTGCTCAGTTCTAGTTCTTAGGCTTTTGTGCCTAAAGCAGGACTAGAACTCACTATCACCTTGGGATTGGTCCAAAGTCACCCAGCTGGCTTTCATCCCCAAGGCAGTACTAAAACTCACCATCTCCTGGTGATTGGCCCAAAGCCACCCAGCCATCTTTCATACCTAAGGCAGTACTAGAACTCACCGTCTCCTGGTGATTGGCCCAAAGCCACCCAGCCATCTTTCATCCCCAAGGCAGTACTAGAACTCACCATCTCCTGGTGATTGGCCCAAAGCCAAACAGCCATCTTTCATCCCCAAGGCAGTACTAGAACTCACCATCTCCTGGTGATTGGCCCAAAGCCACCCAGCCATCTTTCATCCCCAAGGCAGTACTAGAACTCACCGTCTCCTGGTGATTGGCCCAAAGCCACCCAGCCATCTTTCATCCCCAAGGCAGTACTAGAACTCACCGTCTCCTGGTGATTGGCCCAAAGCCACC